CATAGAGCATCTATACAATATTTTGTATGCTGCCTGCAATTCAGTCTAGAGCTCTGAAAACTTTTTTTTAAAGTATAAATTTTTCATTCTACCTCCCAACCATCTGAGAAAGAGCCAACAGACTTTAAAATGTTGTGGACACTTAAAAAGACGTCACAATATAAGCTAGCCACTTAAAACCAGCCCAAATGAATTATTGCTCCAGAGAACAACTCAAATTTTGGCATATCTTCATTGAAATTGGAAAAGAATCCCATTATTACAAGATGGTCAAGGAAAGATTGGAATAAATGAATGCAAGAGCAACAGCAACAACAACAGGTCTCTGCTTTCTGTTGACATCCCACTGCCAGACACAAGCAAAGACCTCAGAAAGCAAGTAATGTCTCCCTTTGCAAAAGGCGTGTTAGAAGGGATCAGAAGCTGAAGGGTCAAGCTTTCCCAGAGAGCATTGCTTTAACTCATGGTACCCTTTGCTGGACTGGCCTACCTGTCCTGGGGGTTGTACGAGCTAATGATGGAGCCAGCCATGGCTCGTGTGCTTGCATTGTCACTGATGGCTCCCAGGCTGACCGAGTCCTTAGGGAAGATCTCTTTCTGCACATCTGCTTGCACTTCCAGTCTAGGCCGGAGACATGAAATCAGTTTTAAAAGCTTGTCTTGATATCATTTCCCTCAGTCCCACTTACTACAGCAAAAGACCCATTTAAAGTATCAAAAGAGTTAAGAATCAAGTGACTCAGCTTCAAGGAACATTTTGCTTCACTCCCATCTTCAACTGGCAGAACCTTTACTTTGCTCATTTTTTTTCTTGAGCAGCACTTGAGTCATGCCTATCCCAGTGATTCACAGAGTTTCTGTGGAATATATGTTTTGGAGCTGTTCTTGTTAAGTGCCGTCAATCCAGCTTTATTCAGCCCGTGAACCCTACAAATGAAACCAAGGGCCCCAGTCTGAGCAGCACCTTCCTGGGCTGTAAACTCATTGTGTGAATGATGCCTGACCACACATCCTCCTAACTTGGAGGTTGGCTTGGAGGAAACAAGTGTGCTGTAACCTTATGAGTCAAGTGGTAAACTCTCTTCTCATTTCACTAAGAAAGCAGGATGTGTAGGAAGATGAAGGAAGTTTCCTAGCTATCTGGAAAGTCACTGGTTCATGTGGATTTTTGCAAGGTAACCATGATGCAAGCGTTGGAGGAAAATACCCTTCAGGAGTTGTGAAAGAGAAGCCACTTTGTTTTGGGTTATGAACAGAGGCCAAATCCCACAGTACTCCGCATACACGTCTAAGAGGAATTCTCTGGCTAAAGGAATGTTTACCTGCTGTACTTTCCTTTCCCGCCCAAAAGCACTCCGCCGCTCAAAGTGCCTCCTGAGAGGGCTGCAAAGCTGGCTGTTTCACTGTAGTTGCCCTGCATCACACTGAGTCCATCCGTGGGACTCCCACTGGTGCTCAAGACACTAGTGAGGCCTTCGATGCTGCTCTCTCCAATGCTGGGATTCTTCAGGGCTCTCCACGCATCTGCCACTGCACCAAAACAAGTTATGGCATGTGAGGCAAAAGGTGACCGGAGAGCAGCATTCGTACACTAAACCAACCAGTTAGCTCACCCCTAGAAGCAATGCAGTCTTAATTAATAAAAGGGTTGTATAGTTTGGAGAACTTCATCTTCTTCAGAATAGAACAGCAAAGCATGCTGAAAGTGTTACTTGCAAAACAGGCTTATAGATGCCTGTGGGGTTCAAGTGGAGACAGTATTCAACCTGGCATTAAAACCATAATCTACACATAACCCTACAACATAACCCTGATACATTTTCTTCTCCAAAAGAAGATCATACAGGCATTACGTCTTTACCTGTAATTGGCCCATCATCTTCATCAAACTCAATTTTAACTCCTTTTCCATTGGCTGTGCTAACTCCACAACCGCCACCCCGGCATAAAGAAATCGGCACAACTCCATAGACATAGGCCAACATAATAGGGACTCCGATACCTGGCAAGGGAAAGGAACGCGCGTTATTTGCAAATATTATGGGTTATGTCACTGAAGGTGTACTTTTAGTATTACATTCCTAAAAGAATACACTCATGATGTAAATGATATCCAGGATTAACAGAACCAGAAGTTCCTCCAGTCCAAAGGAACACGTGTGAGAGGCTTCCCAGCCACCCAGAGTTGATTTACAAGGATCATAGGGGTTCTGTAGCCCACCATATAGGTCCCTCTAAGTCCACCTCACGATGCTTACCTACGCTGACGGCAGCAATAACAGGCGACGCAATCACAGACAAGGTCACGCCCCCAGTGATCGCCAGGTTCCTCTTGTGCTTGGAGGTCTTCTTTCCCTCATACCGGCTGTGAATCTGGCAGAGGAAGAATCAAAGCTACAGCAGGCAATTCCACCAGGAAAAGAAAGGAAACCACCCTACAACTCAAGATACTTCATAACAGGCCAGAGCACAGACTCTTCTCCAGAAAAGGAAAAGAAGACTGAAGAATGCTAAGGCCCCCACTAGTGCTCAAACTAACACAAATCTGAGCTGGAAAAACAATGATCGATGTCGTATATCCGAAGGAAGTTCTTTTTCTCATTACTAAGATATCACATAGGCAAGACATAACTAACATTCAGTTAGTGTTCATCTCAGGCCTATTGTGGAGGAATGTCATGAAACATGCATTTCCGTATCAAGAGGCTGTCAGGATTGCTCGCTCCCTCTCTCAACAATACAACCCACAGGACCCAATGACCCCACTCAAATGTTCAAGCCCTTTGTTTGGTATCTTGTGCATACAAAGCTCTTACACTCACCTTTCTCCCAACATAAACAGGGATGCCAATGACCATGGCTGGAATTGCAATACCAGCAATGAGGGAAATGCCCACTGGGGCACCAATCAACGTCCCAAGCTGCCAGAGAATCTTCTTTTTACGACTCCATGGCTTCTTGCCCCAGAAAGTGCAACCAGAAGGACTGCAAGAGAGTTTACAATTGGCCCTTAAAAGGTCAGAATTCAAAACAGCAAAAAAATGGATTGACAAAGCTCCTAGAAAACCTCTTTTTCCAAATGACTAAATACACATGCAGCAATGGTGGAATTCATGCAGTCTCCAGGTGTTTCTGGGCTGCAAGCATCAGCAGCCATTGCCAGTACAGTGAAAAATAGGGAATGCTGGGAGTTCTAGTCCAACAATATCTGGAGAATATAATCAATTTCCGATCCAAACAAACCAAATGCTTTTAAAGCAAGAGGTGTTTCCCATCCCAATTTTGTTATTCCTCAAAGATTCAGTTTCTCAGGCCCCTTCTACACTGCCATATAAAATTATCTGTTCTGAACTGGATTATATGGCAGTGTAGAAGGGGCCTCAGAGTGAGAACAGAAACCACTATAGCTATTCTATATTTAGACAAAGCCTAATGGGGGCCGTGTACTTGGGCAGTTTTGTTTGGACAACAAGCACCCAGGAACAAATGTTGCCTTGAAGGCAGAGGAAACCCAGACCTTACCTGAGGTAATGCAAGTCAGAGATTTCCTTCATACATAACCAGCAGAACTCGCAGCCACACACTGCACAAGTCATATGATTACAGCTGCCGTCATTCATTTTGATGATATAGGCACTGCAACGTGGACATGGCTTAATGTCATCTGCTGTGGGAGTAAAGAAGAGAAGCTAATCAGGTTCTGCACACATCAAGAAAATTCTTAGAAGGCACTGGAATTTATAAAGATCTTTCATCGTTAGACAGAAGGGCCTTAGCCTTGAGACTACAGCCACCTTTAAATTTGAAAAAAGTGGTTAAATTACTTGGCAGATTAACACTTGCAAATATCACTAATTCCTATCCAACTGATTGCATGTCCAAGATTATAAGTCTATCCATTAAAATGTTATGAATACCCTCTGAGTTTCATCGGATTTAAACAGTTTACAAGCAGAAGAGAGTACTACATAGAAGCACAGCTCAGTTATAAGGCACAGGTTTTACATGCCAGATCCCTGACATCTCTAATTTTAAAAAGATCAAATAACAAGTGATGGGGAAAGAGCTGTCTAAGACCTAGTTTTAACAGACAATACTTGGCAAAGCTGACAACCAAATTGGATATAAAGCAACTTCCTGTTTTAGTTCAAACTTTATTAGATGTATATGATAAGAATCAATTGCCCACTTTTTTCATTCAATTGGCCACTTTTTGTCATGCTTGACGTTTAACGCAAGCTTTCAGGGTTCATGTAAAAAACTAAGTATTTAAATCTCTTTAGTGTTCAGGCTTTGGAGGAGAATAGTTGCATAAAACTAGATTAAATAGTGTGCTAGTACATTATTAATGGACTCTCTTGGCAATACAGGTTTACCACCACAATTACTAAAACACTGAGAATTACAGGCTTCTTTTCAGTTAATAATGCAGCAGCAACAGAACTTTGAGGGTTACCATGAGACTAACTGGAGGAAAAAAGAAAAACAGAATTTTAAAGAGTTGGAAGGGATCACAAAGGCTATCCAATCCAACCACTGCTAAGTGTTAGCACGTACACTTTGACCTCAACCCCATCTGTCCCATCAAGAAGTAGCTCTCTCCACCAGACTTTCAGTCACAATGACCATTTCCCAGCACAACTGAAACAGCAGCCAGCCTGTAAGCCTTTAAAGATTTACCTGGGCCGGATTCTTGTCCATAACTGAGGCCTGAGGTGTGCTTTGTTCGCACCCGCAGAGTTTGTGCTCTTTGTTGGCGGGCCATGTCGCACGTTTGGTTTGGGTGCCATATTTGTTTGCAATGATAGCAAAACTCAGTCTGGCACCCTTCTCTCTCACACGTCAATTTAGGGCAGCTGGCACATCCATAGGCAATAACAGCATACCTGGGGGGGGGGGGGGGGAGGGAGGGAGAAAACGGCATGACAGTTAGTGAAGCAAGAGCAAGTGGGCTGACTGCCTTTTTCTGGGCTCATGACGGACTGTGCCAAACAAAGTGTATTTGTACAGCTCATCTAGCCTGTCAAGATGCATTGAACTGAGTTGAGATTGCCCTAGCCTAGTTCTCTCCCGGATTTGCATTGTGACCTAGATCCTGGCAAAAATGTAGGTAACTTCCTTTCAGACCTCAGTAATAATTAACATGGCCAGAAAAAGACCCCCAACTGACAATGTGTACTCCAAGCATAAGAGTACACATTTATTATCAAATCAGGTTTCCCAGCTCCTATAATGGCTTGGGATTCAGATGCAACACTTTGACAAACCAATTTCTAGGAGCAGAACATTTTTGTATTTTTATTGAGTTTTGTCTGTGGACAGGGTAAATGTCAGCGAGTTTGGTGGTCTTATTTTTATTGGGCTTCAGATCTAGAACCAAGGTCAGACTCTCTTTCAGTCATAGCAGTTAAAAAATAAGGGCGGTGTATATTAATAAAAGCAGAGGAGAATATCAGCAGAGAAGAGTTTCAGTTAGCTGACACCAGGTTTGGTGAGACATTGCAGGTCAGATGGCATGTGGCTCTAACTTCCACTACAATCCCCAGGGAGGATTGCAGTGAGAAGGAAGAAATTCTGTGAGATGGAAAAATGGTCAAGTTGGGTAAGAAGGTTACAGCTGGTACAGATGAGATAACATGTCCTCTAAAGTAACAATTAAGTGCACAGTTCTGTGTAAATGAAGGTAGCAACAATGACTAGCAACAATGTGTTTTATCAGTTTAGGCTGTAATGCTGTTTAGAAAAGGTGGGTCTTCCATCAATTACCTATATTAGTAACATCCAGACTAAATTAATCAGCCCTCCACAGTTGCTGAGGACCCTTGCAAAAGTAAAAAAAAAAACATGAATTCAAAGATTAGTTATTTTTAAAACTAAGAGAACATCAGGAGGTCCTAGAGAGAATGTTTCCATCAAATATGTGATTAATGAAACCTGCAAATGTGAAAGGCCAACTCTACTGAGGAGAACCCTATGGGGACTGTCCTTAGAAAACTAAAGCAATATGTAGCCCCTGGTTACTTCAAGGAGTTATCATGGTCCTGCACTTGATGCTCTTGAAATGCAGCCCACATAAAGTTCATTTAACATAGAGACAGTATGCTTATCTTGCACAACTCATTTCTGTTGCAGGATATGCGTTTCCTTTCAGGGCACAAAAGTCCAAATGAACCATGTCTGTTTCTGAGGGGAAACTAGTATCTCAGCCTTCTGTCAGCAGTTGATGGAGAATTCATGCTGGCTACTGCCCTTCTGTAAGACTGATAATCCCCTAACAGGTGGGGAGATGGGTTTTAACTATTCAACACAACTCTTAGAACTGAGGCACTTCCAGGGAGCTATCTTGGCCCATTAATATATAGGAGACAACTGCTTCCTCACGCATATTCTGTTTCACAACTCAAGTTAAAAGGACAGCTGATAGCAACAAGATTACTTACACAGTATTAGAATGAATTTTAGTCTGTAGAAATAGAAACCAAGAATGAATTCTCAAGTCTACTTTAATCCTTTCATGTTTTGCCTCTGAACATACTACACATACAATCGCAGGGTTTCAGTGGCCAAACACCAATGTCGGCTCAGCTATATTCACACATATTTGTCCTACCCCACCTGTTTCAAGTCACTTCTGAATAAAGGTTCAACTGCAACAGTAGCTTCTGGCCTTTCTGCTGCTGCAAAGGTCTGGCGTGAGCACAGGATGCAGAAGTAGGACCTCCAGAACACAATATCTTTCAGCTGGGAATGCACTAGTCTAAATTTCCATCCATGATTTTCTTTCCATCCCATTCCTTAGTATTTTGTTTTTCTTCAGTAGTAAGTAGCCTCAGCCCACTGAGCATGCTTGGTTATTTGGCTGTTCTATGTCCTATGCACATCCATTGGGAAGAGGAGGGATGTCTCTAAAATATCTGCTTGCTCTGCAAACTCTGGAGTTTTCTTTAACGTACTAGTATCTCTATTGTGGAAGGATAACACTGTTTTTGCTAAACAGCAAGCAGAGTCAAAAGGAAGCTCACTATTAGTATATATGATGCTGCTCCTTCTCTGGTTTCATCTACTAAGCTACCTACTAACTTCCACTCCTGCTGTCAATACAAGTACATCATACAAAGCTCCACCTAACACATATTCTGCTCTGCTCAATTCAATCCTGCCAACACAATGCCATTGTTTTCATGCCCTGAAATTTCCCTAACATCCCTGAGAAAAATAGGGAGCAATAAATGCCAGACAGCAGTATGAGCTGTGGCCACAAAGAAAAAGGTAGTTCCAGATTTGTATGCAGATCTAACTATGCACCAGAAGACCAGCATTGCCATGGAAACACATGTTATGTCTGCAATTTACCTCTCTAGGCAGAATCGCTAAGCTTGCCAATATATGAAGCTGCTTAAAGCATGGGTGGGATGCAGAAGACATCAATATGCTACATGCTATGCATCTTTAAACATGCTTTTGCCATCATCTCACAGAGAAACTAATCTAGGAAATCCAGCAGATAAAAGATCCTTCATAATACATGTAAGAAGCAGAGAACAAAATCATCCTTCTGTATCTACAAACCTCTTATGCGCCCTTCTACATACTATCTTTGATACTGAGCTGAATTAGCCTCTGTGCAGAGCTGACAGCCCTTCACCAGAAGGCATAGCCCATATGGCCCTTAATAATAACTTAAGAAGCGCCCTGCTGGATCCAGACAAGTTTCAGTTCATACAGAATCCCAAAGGTTGCCTATGGGATTCCATAAGCAGGCTATAAGTGCAACAGGACCTCTTGAACCCACTTGCTCTTCCCAGTGACCGAGACACACTGATATTGGGAGGGGGGCAAGGGGAGTTGCATTATGAAGCACACCCTTCCACCAACTGATCCCAAACTGGCAGGCCTTTTCATCTCCTGGATCCTTGCTTGATCTCACTCTTTTTGAAATAATGGTAGGCCTGCAAAACGTGGACCGTCTACAAACGTCCCTCTCAACTTCTGGAATGATTCCATCTGTGTCGCCTCCCAAAAATCCTGCATATTGGACAAAACCATCATCACTGAAGCAATGATCCTCTGCCATCACCTTTGCTGGAGCAGCCACATTATCCTAATGCCTGATCAGTCTCCCAAAATAGGTACTCTACTCTCAGCTCAAGAACAGAACATGGAATGTCAGTGGACAGCTAAAGAAATGTAAAGATGGGTTTACAGTTAAACTTAAAAACTGTGGCATAGACACTGAGAACTAGGAAGTCCTAGCCCTAGAGTGTTCTAACTGGAGCCGGCTGTTACCAACAGTGCTGTGGATTTTGATGAGGCACAAATGGAAGGTGAAAGGGAGAAATGGACCAAGTGAAAAGCGCATCAAGCCAACGCTTGTTGGGACCACCTTCCATCTGGAAATCAATATCCTTATTGTGGAAAGGCCATGTAGATCCAGAATAGGTCTTCAGTCACTTATGGATCCACCACCAAGATTATACACTTGGAAAGCAATCATACTTGGCCATGAGTGATAGCCTATGATATGATGATGAAGTAATGGTGTTGTGTTGGCCAGTTCTGTGGCAGAGGGTAATTCTTAGACACTTTGCATATTTTTGTTAGAAGGGCGGCAATTTCGAATCTGAGCTCTTCAGGAACTCTCAGATGGGTTCCATCTGGACCAAGCAATTTATTTGTTTGTAATTAGTCAGTAAGATCCAGAACCTACTGACTAGTTACCACTGTTATTTTCTATAGGCATTACAGTACTATAGATTCTTTAGGACATTGTTAGGCAATCACAATGTGCATGCTAATGGCGCAGAATACAAGGAAACCAAATGTGATGTTTATTTCACAAACAGTTAAATTGCACACTAACCTTCAGAAGGTTACCAAGCAGTAGCATAAACAAGGTGCCTCTCCAAGGACAGGGTGTTCTACCGGCTTCCCTTTTGTTTCACATCCGATTTGATACATTTTGTATCAGCTGAATAGTTGAAGAATAGTTCATGGCAATCTGATTCTAGCACTGATTTAGTAAAGCTCAAACACTACGCTGCACAATTTAGCAGAGCTCCATGAACATCATATGCTTATTTGTAATGCCACAATCAGAGAATTACTTTTTCATGAAATCCTGTAACTTGGACTACTCAAGAGCAACAATGCTCCCTAAACTTAAGAATACTTGATAAGAATCTTGAGAATCTGAGGCGATCACACAAACAATCCCAAATATCCTTATTTTACAACTTCCATAACCTTGTTTTTATTTATTCAAATGCTGATGACTCCAAGGGCAGCAAACAGACCCCTTCTCTTGTGTTCTGTATGCTGTGCCAGAGAGACTTTAAGGAGCATTACTTAAAAGAAAAGAGAAAGTAAAAAAAGAAATCTTGTTAACTAAAATCTTGTTTTGACTGTCTGATAAAGAATAGGTTTTTTCCATGTACCTAAATCGGAAGCTCAATTAACAGTGATTCAACATTTCCTCCATTACTATACAGAAACAAGATTCATGTAGCTATTACTGAGAAGTCAACATTAACAGCATTTCCTGCAAATGTGAAAAAGCATTGTGCAACTTTTGGATTTCCTAGAAAAATACAACTGACAGGAAGAGACCAGAAATTCCTTTTCATTTTAGTAAGAAATATCTCAGAAAATCCACCGCAGCTTGAAATGTTAGGCATTAACTGATTTTACATTTCCTCAGAAAAAAAGGCTGGGGAACTTTTACACCTGAAATCTGTGGCTCAGCTTCCGAGGGTCACTTCTGATTCCCCACTTCTGTGAAAATAAACTCTATGCTGTGAAATATCTGCTCTGTTTAAACAAAATCTAAAACCAGTAATTGTTTTATTGACCAAACTGAGTCAGGGCATAGCGTCTCCTTAAGTCAATGATTAAGAACAATTCTGTGTAACTGAGTAAGAATACTTAGGAAGCACCATACGCTGCAGGACTCAGTGAACTCAATACCCTTCACAGTGCCAGTCCGAAGGCTCCAAACACAGAGTGGTTTTGGCTGAGACTAGATTACTTTCAGCAGGTACTTATTCTGCCCACCATTGGGACTTCCCTCCTGATGGGTTGCCCCACATCTCTTTCCAAGGTCATCCATACCCTGTTTCTATTTCGTAATGAGATCTCTTTGAAAAGGGTTTCATCTGAAAAGGGTTTCTGATGTGCCTTTGGAGAGTGACCATTCAACCCAATTTGTTTGTTTCCATCTATAATTGTCCTCGTGAAGCACTTTCCCCCTGTCCTTAACAAAGCCAAACCCCACTGCTCTCCCCTCTTGGACTCCTCCCTCACAAATAAACTTTGATTCCTATCTCACCAAGGGTTTTAACGTCTTAACATTTTATCTCGTGCATTTGGCCCACCCTTTCTGTTTATTATGTTATTTTTCACTGTTTATTTTATTTTATTACTTTATGTACTTTGTTTTGATGTAATTTTTCTGTTGTTTTGTGTCTAACTTTGCTGTATTATTTTTGGGCTTGGCCTCATGTTAGCCACCCTGAGTCCCCTTTGGGGAGATGGTGGTGGGGTATAAATAAAGATGATGATGATGATGATTATTATTATTATTATGCAGGCGCAGACAAACTTCGGCCCTCCAGGTGCTTTGGACTTCACCTCCCACAATTGCTAACAGCCTACTGGCTGTTAGGAATTGTGAGAGTTGAAGTCCAAAACACCTGGAGGGCCGAAGTTTGCCCATGCCTGATGTAGTGGTATCTTATTTGGAAGATAATGCTTTATATACATCTGCTGGAATATAGAAGCTCACATCCTTGCAAAATCCTCAGGTACATCCTGCCACCCTACAACATAGGGGGACAGGGAGTAGATGCTATTTTCACGGACTCATTGTGCATCAGAAAACAACATGAAGAAATAGTGTGAAACGTACACGGTGAAATCCAATTTCTCTCATACAGTGGTTCTCAACCTGGAGTCCCCAGATGTTTTTGGCCTTCAACTCCCAGAAATCCTAACAGCTGGTAAACTGGCTGGGATTTCTGGGAGTTGTAGGCCAAAAACATCTGGGGAACCCCCGGTTGAGAACCGCTGCTCTCATACATCATCTCTAAACTGTCTTTCCCAACATGGTGAGCCATAAACATTTTCAACCATACTCCCACTGCATCACATTCGGTACAACCAACCATCAGGGATGATGGGACATACATCTCAAAATAGGGGGTCCACAAAGTTTGAGGGTGGGATACCTCCACATGGATATGGAATTAGTTCATAACTCAGTATGAGGTGCTGAACTATACAAGAATATAATCTCTCTCTTCCAAAAACACTTTTGGGCTTGATTCCATAGGCCCTTTGGATCTATTTTATTCTTCTAACTCTTCACTGTTTTTTTCCTTGTGATAACTTTATTCTGGCAACTCTGAACTACATTGGCACAGTTACAATGACACCATCATCCCCACACAATGGTACACAACCAACTGTTACTCCCACCTAGACCCACAGAACAACTGCCAAACAGTAAAATCCACAGTCAATCCCTCCATCGTCTCCCCGCTCCTTCCCCTGCCTAATTTCAGGGGGTTACTGTGAAGCCAACTGGCCTGCCTTGGGGAATTGTCATAAAGACTGTCAGAAAGCAAAAGTAAAAATGAGCATGATTTTCCTTGCACTTTTCTTTTTTTCTTTTACTTACATCTACTTTTAACACATTGGGGGATGATCCCTCCTTTGTCATTCCCCCCTCTTCCTCAGTCTTCATTCAGAGGAGTGTGGAAGAAAGGAGAGAAGAGCGGGGAATGACAAAGGGGGATCATCCCCCAATGTGCTAAAAGTAGATGTAAGTAAAAGAAAAAAAGAAAAAGAAAAGTGCAAGGAACATCCATGCTCATTTTTACTTTCGCTTTCTGACAGTCTTTATGACAGAAAGTAACTGAAAGTAACTGAGCTGCCTTGTTACAAAAGTTTCCAGGAAATGAAAGTAAAAGTACATTCCAACACATCTTGCATTTTGATTACTTTTATTTATTACACTTATATTTTAATGGAGGTTGGTTGGGTGTGTTGAGTGTTGGTGTCACCCCTCCCTTTAACTTATAAAGCAGTTGTCCATCCACCATCTTCTTCCCCCTCACTCCCTCCTCAGCCTATTTTCAGAAGTCACCATGAAACTAACTGGCCTGACTGGGAGAGCTGTGGTAAAAACTGCCAGAGAGCTAAAGGAAAAGTGGGCCTGAAGGGATCTTGTGCTTTTCTTGTTATTGTTTGGGGGGGGGGGGATTGGATGTCCCACACCCCCTCCTCCTTCTTACAGTACTTTTTTGCGTGGGTGTGTGGTTGCTGTTCCCCCCTTCCTTTGACTTATAACACATTTCCTGAGGTGTTGTCACTCCATCTTCTTCCCCCTCACTTACAGCACTTATGACACATAGGGGACTAGTGCCCCCTTCCTATTCTTCCTCCTCCTTCCCTTCCTGGTTCTCTCTCCTCTTCCTTTCTTCCTCCTTTCTTTTCCTTTCTTTTTTGCCTTGTTCCCTTCTTTCTTTCTTTCCCTCCCTCCCTCTGTCTTCCTTTCCTCCTTCCCTTCCTTTCTCCCTCCCTTTCCCTCTTCCTTTATTTTTTCTTCCTCCCTCCGTCTTCTTTCCTTGTTCCATTTTCTCTTTCCCTCGTCTCCTTTCTTTCTTCCTTTCCTCCCTCCCTCCTTTATTCTCTTCTTCTCTCCTTTCCCTCAATCTTTTAGCTTCCTCCTTGCCTTCCTCCCTCTCTCTTCTTCCTTCCCTTCATTTCTTTCATTCCTTGCCCACTTTCTTTCCTTCTTCCTTTCTTTTTCGTTTCTTGCTCCCCCTCTTCTTTCCTTGTTCCCTTTCCTCTTTCCCTCCCTCACCTCTCTTCTTTCCTCTTTTCCTCCCTCCATTCTACCCTGCTTTCCTTCAATCTCTTCTTCCGTCCTTGTTCTCTCCCTCTTTCTTCCTCTTCCTTTCTCTTTCTCTTCTTCCTGGTCTCCTTTCCTCCCATTCCTCCCCTTTCTCGCTCTTTCTCTTCTTCCTTCCTATATTCTTCCCTCCCTCATTCTCTCCCTCCCTCTCTCTATCTTCTTCCCCATTCTCCTTTTAACTGTGCTGAATTGTTTATTGTACCAGCTATAGGCCAAAACATCAAATAATATACAATCTTTAAAAGTACAAAAAGCACTTTCCAATATAAACATTAAAACCTATTCTATATAAAGGTAAAGATTTCCCCTTGACAGTAAGTCTAGTCAAGTCCAACTCTGGGGTTTGGTGCTCATCTCCATTTCTACGCCGAAGAGCCGGCATTGTACGTAGATGTCTCCATGGTCATGTGGCTGGCATGACTGCATGGAGCGCTGTTACCTTCCAGCCAAAGCTGTACCTATTGATCTACTCACATTTGCATGTTTTCAAACTGCTAGATTGGCAGAAGCTGGGCCTAACAGCAAGAGCTTACCCTGCTCCCCTAATTCAAACCATGACCTTTCAGTCAGCAAGTTCAGTGGTTTAACCCACTGTGCCACCGGGGGCTCTTTAAAATTACAGTAGCTGTGACATGATAACAATAACAATGCCTGATTTTAACTGTGAATATTTTAGGGCTGTGTTTAACTCCCTTTCAAAGTTTATAAAAAATTGTATATTTTAAATGGTATGCTCATGCTTTTATATCAAACTGCTTTGAGTCCCCTTTGAGGAGATAGAGCAGGGCATAAAGAAATATCATCATTATCATTCTTCCTCCCTTCTTTATTCTCTCTTTCCCTTCTTGCTTCCTGTATTCTTCCCCACCTTCCCTTCTTCCCCATACTCCTTCCCTTCCTCTTTCCTGTATTCTTCCCCACCTTCCCTTCCCTGCTTCCTGCTCTTTCCCATCTTCCTTCCTGTCTTCTTCCCCACCTTCCTTCCCCTTCTTCCTTCCTTCTTCTTCCCCATTCTTCTTTCCTGTATTTTTACCACCTTCCCTTCCCCCATTCTCCTTCCCTTCTTCCTTCCTGTATTCTTTCCCACCTTTCCGTCTTACCCATTCTCCTTCCCTTATATTCTTCCCCACCTTTCCTTCTTCCCCATTCTCCCTCCCTTCTTCCATCCTTTCCCCACCTTTCTTTCCCTTCTTCCGCAGTCTCCCTCCATTCTTCTTTCCTGTATTCTTCCCCCTTCCCTTCTTCCCCATTCTCTCTCCCTTCTTCCTTCTTGTATCCTTTTCCCCACCTTTCCTTCCCTTCTTCCCCAGTCTCCCTCCATTCTTCTTTCCTGTACTCTTCCCCCTTCCCCATTCTCTCTCCCTTCTTCCTTCTTGTATCCTTTCCCCCACCTTTCCTTCCCTTCTTCCCCAGTCTCCCTCAATTCTTCTTTCCTGTATTCTTCCCCCTTCCCTTCTTCCCCAGTCTCCCTCCATTCTTCCTTCCATCGGCCCTCCTTTCAGGTGTTTTGGACTCCAACTCCCACAATTCCAAACTTTTCCCCCCACAGCAGCTTAAGCGTAAAAGGAAAGGGCCCGAGGCTGTTAGGAAAGGTGGGAATTGGAGTCCAAAACACCTCGAAGGCCAAAGTTTGCCCATGCCTTCTCTACACTGTAGAATAAATGTAGTATGGCACCACTACAAGGCTCAATGCTATGGGATCGTTGTAGTTTGCCCCTGCCCGTCCCACGCCCTTCTCTTCGCCCCCTTCTCCCTCTCTCACCCGCAGTCGGGGGCCGGGCACCACCGGCAGTCGGGGTCGGAGGCGAGGCACCGGCGGAGGAGGAACTCCTCGTACTTGGCCACCAGCTGCGGGGAGTCCCTCAGGAGGCGCCGGATGTCGGCGGGGTCGAGGCGCTCGGCGCACTCGGGGCAGCTGATGTGGACGCGCGACTCGGTGATCTCGATGCGGAGGTACTGGCGGAGGCAGGCGCGGCAGGAGCGGTGCGGGCAGGAGAGCAGGCGCGGCGCGTTCCCCGAGGGCTGCCGCACCAGGCACAAGGGGCACTCCAGCTCCGAGGGAGGCGGCGGCGACGACGGAGGGGCGCTGCCATGGCCCTCGCCACTGCCATTCCCCCCCTCCTCTTCCTCTTCCTCCGCTTCCTCAGGGGCCTCGCAGGCCAAGGCGGCAGCGGCGGAGGCCTCTTCTTCCGGGGCAGGCGGCGGCCCTGGCGGCGGTGGCGGTGGGCCTTCCTCAGCCGCCTTCTCCTCGACCTCTTCCTCCGGCCTGGCCTTGGCCTTCTTCCTCCGCCGGACTCCAGGCCCCGACGAGGCGGCGGAGGCGGCGGCCGAGAAGACGCTCTGGAAGCTGAGGAGGCGGAGGCGGCGGCGGCGCCTGGCGCTCCCGCCTCCGCCGCTTCCGGGGCATTTGGCCGGCTGAGGGGAAGGGGGCGGCGGAGGGGGAGCGGCGGCGGGGAGGGAGCTCGAGCGCGGAGACTCCGAGTCCTTCTCCGAACCCATCGCCCGCCAGGAGAAAGAAGAGGAGCCGCCTCTCCCGCCCCGGCTCTGCGCCGCCTCTGAGGAGAAGAAGGGGGGAGGCGGCAAGTGCGCATGCGCGGACAGCCCCTTTCCGTTTTGCGCCGCCTCTGAGGTAAATAAAAAAAACGCTTTCCGCTCTGAGGTTGAGAAGAACACTGAGCGCATGCGTGCCCAAACAGAGAAAAAGGGCCTCCAAGGCGCATGCGCCCATTACCAACCCACTCACCCCTCCCTTCCCGCTCTTTAATGGAAAGGATCCCTGGTCGCATGCGCCTCCACTGAAGAAGTTGGGGAGAAGGGGTTCTAGGGCGCATGCGCAGCCCACCAACCCACTCCCCCTTCCCTCTTTTAAATAGCATCTTATATACTACAACTTATGGTATAGTACAATCAATCTTCTATCTTCTATATCAGTGGTTCTCAACCTCTGGGTCCCCAGGTGTTTTGGACTACAACTCCCAGAAATCCCAGCCAGTTTACCAGCTGTTAGGATTTCTGGGAGTTGAAGGCCAAAAACATCTGGGGACCCACAGGTTGAGAACCACTAGTACAATCTATATAAATAAAAATGTAATGTTAGTTTGTGGGATTAACAGAACTCAAAAACCACTGCACCAATTGACACCAAATTTGGACACAAGACACCTCTAACAACCCAATGTATGTCCTTCACTCAAAAAATTTGATTTTGTCATTTGGGAGTTGTAGTTGCCAGGATTTATAGTTTACCTACAATCAAAGAGTATTCTGAACTCCACCAATGATGGAACTGAACCAAATGTGGCACACAGGACTCCCATGACCAACTGAAAACGCTAGAAGGTTTGGTGGGCATTGATTTTGAGTTTGGGAGTTGTAGTTCACCTACATCCAGAGAGCAGAGTGGACTCAAACAATGATGGATCTGGACCAAACTTGCACAAATATTCCATATGCCCAAATATGAACACAGATGGAGTTTGGGGGAAATAGACCTTGACATTTGGGAGTTGTAGTTACTGGGATTTATAGTTCACCTACAATCAAAGAGCATTCTGAACCCCACTAACGACAGAATTGGGACAAACCTCCCACACAGAACCCCCATGACCAACAGAAAATACTTAAGGCCAACCCAATCTTCACCAGGGCAAAAAACATAATCAAAACCCTCCTGACAAAGGGCTATCCAGCCATAGATATAGATAGATATGATTCGCACACACATATTATCATAGATTTGAAAGGGACCCCTAAAGAAGAACAATTATATTTTGCATGTTCCCGAGTTGGCAAACCAGACAATCTCCACATCAACACCGACAAAGAAACAGCAAGAAATACTGTTTACCCACAAGCAGAAAGACATTGCATATATTGTCCATTCCAAACAGCATTCCATTCCAAACAGCAGCAGTGCCAATTCTATGTTTTAGCTTAAATTTTAAAGCAAAGGGCCAGCACCTTGGAGAGCTCTTTTGACATTAAAACATGGGATCAATTCACTGTCCTCAGGGCAATGGAAGCTCCCAACCTCCACTGCTCATAGATTAAAAGTTTATTTAGAAATAGCACATACCAGCTTGCCATTGTAAACCCCTGAGGCTCCCCCCTCCCCTCATCAGGAGTGACTTGAGAAACTGCAAGTCGCTTCTGGTGTGAGAGAATTGGCCGTCTGCAAGGACGTTGCCCAGGGGACGCCTGGATGAATTGATGTTTTTATCATCCTTGTGGGAGGCTTCTCTCATGTCCCTGCATGAGGAGCTGGAGCTGATAGAGGGAGCTCATCCGCCTCTCCCTGGATTCGAACCTGCGACCTTCAGTCCTGCTGGCACAGGGTTTTAACCCACTGCGCCACTGGGGGCTCCTTTTTCCAGATCATCAGACTGGGCCACAGCAACTCGTGGCAGGGGACAGCTAGTATAGTGTATAATACTAATAGTATAATATTCTGGTAATGTATTATATATATATTGGTATAATAATATAGTACAATAAAATAACATATAATACTTGCATATTATATATTACATGTAATATTACTAATAATGTCTCTTTTTGGTGTATTATCCAGTAGTTGCTGCAGATCCTCGTAGAACTGATCTACTTCTGCTTCTTCAGCTGTTGTAGATGCATATATTTGGATCCCTGTGATGTTAAATGGCTTACCATGAATTGAGATCATTCTTGTCATTTTTTGGATTGTATCCAAGCACCGCTTTAGTGACTTTATTTTATTTATTTATTTATTTACCACACTTTTATCCCGCCCTTTTCAGCCCAAAGGTGACTCAGGGCAGCGTACAGACTGGCAACAATTAGATGCTGAACACACATAAATACATTGTTTAAAACAGGTTAAATCACACAATAAAATTCATATAAAAACAATTTAAAACTATTAAAATCGATGACTTCTGTCATTGCAATGTCCATTTGCATTGCTAAGCCATTCCAAATCTGGCTACCAGTATTACAAAACTCTAAAATTGCAACAGCACAACAACAGAGAGGAAGCAGGCAGGGACACCTAATTACCTCTCAACAAAAGTTTGCCCCAGGCACAGTCAGGCCATTGTATGCTAATCAAGGTGATCAGTTGAAACATTCACACCTAGCTCCAGCAGACAAGAGTCCTTTGTCTCACCCTGGTCATTCCACAGATATATAAACCCTTTTGCCTAGTTCCAACAGACTTCACTACCTCTGAGGATGCTTGCCATAGATGCAGGCGAAACGTCAGGAGAGAATGCCTCTAGACCATGGCCATATAGCCCAAAAAAACCTACAACAACCCAGTGATTCCGGCCATGAAAGCCTTCGACAATACATTCACACCGTTCACAATACTGATTTTATCTGGTTACAATGAGGTTCCAAAAGCTTGCTCGAAGAGTTAGGTTTTTACTCTTTTCCTAAAGGTCAAGAGGGTGTGGGCCAATCTAATATCCCCAGGAAGGGAGTTCCACAGCCAAGGGGCCAGCACTGAGAAGGTCCTGTCCTTTGTCCCCCTGCCAAGTGCGCCTGTGAGGCAGGCGGGATCGAGAGCAGGGCCTCCCCAGATTATCTTATATTCCTTTCGCCCCTTCCTCTATCACAGCTACGACTTGTGGGAACGAGGGAGAGAGCCTTCTCCGCTGTGCCCCCCCCCCCAGCTTTGGAACTCGCTACCTGGTGAGATTAGGCAAGACCCCACCCTAGCAGCCTTTAAGGATTTGAAAACTTGGCTTTTCCAATGTGCCTCTGGAGAGTGACCATACATCCCATTTTTGTTTATTCCACCTACAGTGTTGTCCTCATAATGCACTTTCCCCCCATCCTTAACGAAGGCCCAACCCCATTGATTGTCTTTTTTCCCACTCGTATCTCACCCAGGGTTTTATCATTTTATTTTGTGCATTTGGCCCGCCCATTGTGTTTGACTTTCTATTATGTTATTTTGCATTGTTTATTTTATCTTGTTACATTATGTATTTTATCGTGATGTAATTTATTGTTGTTTTGTATTTTATTTTGCTGTATTGTATTTTTGGGCTTGGCCTTATGTGAGCCACCCCGAGTCCCCTTTGGGGAGATAGTGGCAGGGCATAAATAAAGTTTATGATGATGATGATGATGATTGTTTATTATTATTCTTAGGAGCAAATATTACTGCAGATGGAGACTGCATCCAGGAAATCAGAAAACATTTACTTCTTGGGATGAGAACAATGACCAATCTCAATAAAATAGTTAAAAGTAGAGACATCACACTGGCAACGAAGTTCCGCATAGTTAAAGCAATGATATTCCCTGTAGTAAACTATTGATGTGAGAGCTGGACCTTAAGGAAGGCTGAACGAAGGAAGATAGACACTTTTGAATTTTGGAGAAAAATTCTGAGAGTGCCTTGGAGCAGAGAAGATCAACCAGTCCATACTCCAGGAAATAAAGCCCAACTGCTCATTGGGGGGGGGGGGGGGATATTAGAGGCAAACATTAAGTACTTTGGCCACATAATGAGAAGACAGGAAAGCTTGGAGAAAAGAATGATGCTGGGAGAAATTGTCCTTGCACACATTTAAAATACACCTTTAAATGCTTGTTGAGACCAAACTTGCCAATTTTGAGCATTAATGCTGCCTCAGCAACCATCCCACCTCCAAACAGCCCAAAAGATAAATATCAGGATGCTCAGTATATCCCATTAGGCGACATTTCCTCCAACCTTCTAGAGGTTTTGGACGTTGATGTTGTCCCTGAAGATGGTACACCCAATGTAAAGGTCATCATAACTAGTTCTGCCTTGGGAAAATACAAAAGACTGTTCCCTCAATCAGGTTACTCTTTCTGAAAATTAAGAAACCATACCTTATTTATGGAAGGTATCATCATAACCTGCAATTATGGTTATCACAGTATTTTGACGGGTAAAATGAGTAAAATGAGATAAAATAGTGAAGAGTAGAAACATCACACTAGTAACAAAGATCCGCATAGTTAAAGCAATGGTATTCCCCATAGTCACCTACGGATGTGAGAGCTGGACCATAGGGAAGGTTGAGCAAAGGAAGATAGATGCTTTTGAACTGTGGTGTTGGAGGAAAATTCTGAGAGTGCCTTGGACTGCGAGAAGATCCAACCAGTCCATACTCAGGAAATAAAGCCGACTGCTCATTGGAGGGAAGGATATTAGAGGCAAAGATGAAGTACTTTGGCCACATCATGAGAAGAAAGGAAAGCTTAGAGAAGACAATTATGCTGGGAAAATGGAAGGAAAAAGGAAGAGGGGCCGACCAAGGGCAAGATGGATGGATGGCATCCTTGAAGTGACTGGATTGACCTTGAAGGAGCTGGGGGTGGTGACGGCCAACAGGGAGCTCTGGCATGGGCTGGTCCATGATGTCACGAAGAGTCAGAAGCAACTGAACGAATGAACAACAACGTTTTGGTATATCCTATCCTCTTGACCTTTCTGTTTCCATACATATATCTACTACTTATATCAATCAGTTTTACCCTGTGCCTTCCTGCAACAGTTGTACCTCTATTTCCAATATTATTTTAATTCATTGATCATGAAGATAGTCTGTTGTAGTGCCTTA